ATTTGAGAATTTCTTATTTTGATATGTTTGGTTAACTTGAAGCCTCAAATATTTTGTTATTTGCATTCCATAATAAAATTTTGGATTTTCTAGCTTTGATTATTTGCTCTTTTGCATATGCCTTGGTATAGTACTTGAAATTTATTCAGTTTCACTATATTTCTGGGTTGCAGATGTTCTTTCTATTACCCTTTTTTTTGCTTTCATCTCCTTTCCATTTGTTTTTCCTAATTAGCATTCACTATATTCGAGCCAAATTCTTCTCTCCTAGAATCTGATTTTAGTTACTATGAATTTATACTAGATTTACACTTTACTTGTATTGAAGTTATATTGATTATATTTTGGTGTAATTCCAAAGTGGGATTAGTGTAGCTTAAGATTAATGTGAAAATCATTTATTTGTGTGATTTGACCATACTAGGGTTTGCGTACGTATGTTTATAGATGTGAGTGTGCATGCGTGTCATGGACATCTGCGTTGTACCGTGTAATTCTGAAAAAAAAAATTACCCAAGTGATAAAAAACTTACAGATCACCCGAGTTATCTATAGACAGATCCATGCAATACTGCCTCTGCATGCATAATGTCGTCGTCGTTGTCTCATCTTAATTACTAGCATATAGGAGTATATGCACAACCTCGATATCTCGCTCGATCACTCTCTTTCGTTGAACTTGAACCGCCGGCCGGTCTGATGGACACGACAGCTCTAGCAGCAGTGGTTTCGTTGCGTGCACGAGCGAGCATGACTGGTGGATCGGATCGGGTTCAAGATGCAGGATCGCCACCTGTTCCATCCAGTACTATGAAACGCCGCTCCTGTCCTGTGCCCCTGCGGACATGAGCAAAAGCAGCAGATCGACACGGGCCGGTGCCGGCCGGCGGCGAGCATAATTAATAGGGTCGGCCCGGGCCGGCAGGCAGGTTGGTGCACCAACTCCTCGCTGCTTTGCTTGGACGACCTTGCCCCGGCCGTTCACACGTGTTTCTTTGTTCTGCAGATACATACGTACAGACACGTTCAAAATGTAGCTAGGTGGCCGCAAATTGAAGGCTTTGACGTATGCTGGTCTGTCTAACACAGCACACAATGAAATGGAAATTGATGATGCATTATTATTAACATATATAAACACTCCGATCCTGCAAATACACAATGCAAGACGAGTCCCGGTCGGATTAGTTATAGAGTAAAATGCACCATTAGTCCATCAACTTGTTCGTCCGATCAACTTTGAAAGTGTATTCTTGGGTCTAAAACCTTGTCAAGTGATGCATAAATAGTTCATACCCCTTCCTTTCGCGAATATATATGACATGGCAGGCCATGTCATCACCTAGCGTGACGGCGTGGCGGCCGCGGCGAACATCCTGGCGACACGCAGCACCCGCACCCTCAGCTGCAGCCGTCGACGAGCGTCCGCGTGCCGTACGGGCACCACCGGCGGAGCCTGCTCCACCGTCGGGCTAGGGCCAAGGCTCATGCTCGCCGCATGTTGACGCAACGGCCCTCCCTTCGCTCTCTCCCCGTGCATGCTCTGCTCCAGACCGAGCCGCGCCACCGACGCAAATCCTCCGCCGCCGCGCCCGTTCCCGTCCCGATCCAGCCTGAGCTGCGCAGCAGCTTGCTCTTCCCCCTCCGCCCCTCCTTGCACCGTTTCCTAGCCGGATCCAGCCAAAACCACAGCCGCTCCGGCTGTCTCCTTCGGCTCCGACGAGCTTCCCGCCGCGCCCCCACCATCCGCTGCTTCCCGCCGCTTTCCCATAAGCCACCGAGAGCCATGCCACTGCCTGCCGCCGGCGCCGATGCACTGCGCGTTGCGCTCGCGCCGCCCGCGTCGTGTTCTACCGCCAAGCGTGCCGTACTCGTGCCGCGCATCGTGCGCCGCCCTGCACCCTGAGTCGCGCGCCGTAAACCCTGCTCCCCGCACCGCACCGCCGCCCCTTGCGTCGCATCCCCGTGTGCACGCGCACCCTGCATGCCCGCGCCGCCTCCCAGCGCCCTCCCTCGCGTCGCGCGCCCTGCCCCGCGAACCCTCACTGTGCCCCGCGCGCGCACCTTGCCGCTAACCCGCGCTGCCATTCCGATCGCCGCAGCCCCAGCGACCCGTACCCCGCAATGCAGCGACGCCTGCACTTGACTTGCTATCAACTTCAGCAGCCAGGTGTGTTGTCCACGTCGGATCTATTCGCGAAACGAATGAGTATGGACTATTTATGCACCACTTGACAAGGTTTTAGACCCAAGAATACACTTTTAAAGTTGATGGATCAAAATGACATAGCCGAACAAGTTGATGGACTAATTGTGCATTTTACTCTATATTTGAGAAAGTGGGCTAGTTAGACCAGGCCTCCTTGCTTTGTTTTCTGGATGTGGTAATGCGTGGGGCTGGTCGTTTTATTTAGACGGAACGGAACCCTAACAGCCACCAATGGGTTACGAAGCAAGTACTAGCTAGCCGAGTCAGTTGAGTGAGCTAAGCATAGTTTTTTTTTAACTGGCATATCATATATAAATTGCTCCTTATCCCGTAGGAACGAGGTGCACGCTGATCGACCGTGCATGGACAATCAACCATAGGTTACGACTGCCTCGTGTACAGTATAGTAACGCACGTTGCCAAAAGGATAGGAGACTAGTACGTTCTCACGCTTGCTGACCTGTATTGTACGACGCAACGCAAAACTCTTAATTTTCAACGATGACGACTTTTACTTGTCAGGGAAATTTTGAATAGTACACGTACGCTTGTGATGTGATGGCTCGGTTTAGCAGGAAGGAGAAAAAGGAAACGAATCCATCGATCCGTCTATCGCCTCAAGTCTCTATTGGCTGGTGTGGTGGAAATCTGACGTGTCATTTGACCATTTCATCAGTACTAGTAGGCTTCTGCCATCACCGTCCACACAAACTTTAATTTGTTACCTAGTAGCAAGTACAGCTGGCTAATGATAAACCCCTATAGTCGTATAGAAGCAGGATGACGTCGGCTCTGCATCACCGTGAGCGGCCTGATGAACTCCTGCGTATAACTTGCAGTGCAATTTCACAATTTATTCATCGTCTTAATCATCTTCTACCTCTCTCTGGCCTTACCTGAAAGCCATGCATCAATGCAACCTTTCCGTCTCAGGAATTTCAGCTTATGTGATGGCATAGAGAGATTTTATTAGCTTACGTACATATTAATTTATCGGGTAGATTAGAGCCAATTGAAGAAGGCACTACATATGGAGACTTGTCTAAGCGCTCAAAGCTTTGTCTCTGTTCACTGGTCAGTAAGCTTAGTTTGTTCGTTTATGGCTGATTTGTTTTAATCCACGCTCATCTTCTACCTTTTCAATATTATAAACAAAAGAAGAAGATGGAAGACAAACCCATTCTGTGGAACACGATGAATTGCTCAACAACTGTGCGGTCATGCATGGTATAGTATAGTATGCCATTTTTTTTGCCACCTGACAAGTCTAACGTAGTGTCCCTTGCGTGTTTTGAGTATCCGAGCCACCGAAGACCCACACATCAATCTCCGACGAACAAACTGCATGCTTGCCGTGGTTCTGAACCCGCGACAGCTGGCGCGCCAGGTAGGGGAAGCGCGTCGTGTGTGACCGTCGCTTTGCGGTGGCCAGAACCACCCACTTCGCTGTCGGAGCCCGGAGACGCCGTCCCCAAGGGCGGCTTGCGATTCTCCGGTGAAACCATCACCGGTGGCTCCTTCGCCCTGGGCCAAGTTCTCAGCTTTGGGAGCTTGGACCACGTCGCCGACCACAGCAGTGAGCTTCACCCTCTTGAGGAGACTTCATCGGAGGACAACGAGACCCCGGCGTATGTACAATGGATGGAGCGGTTTGACATCGACCGAGAAACCGTTGCGAAGATGCATCTATGGGTGGAGTAGATTCTATTCTATGTAAAATTACGAGCCAAGTGCCAGCCGGGTTAGCTCAGTGAGCCAAGCATAATCTTTTTTAGTTACTGATATATGAATTATCCTAATACATGGCAACGCTGGAAGGTGGTGTATGTACCAATGGATGGAGTAGTTTGACCTCGACCGAGTAACCGTTGCAAAAGAGCATCCACTTCAATCATCTCCATCGTAATATTATTATCCGCTATGCGTGACGTACAGACTGACTGGCTGATTTAGTTTGTACAATTACACTAGTATATGCTTAACGCTTGTGATGGTTTAGTTTATCAGAAATGCTATACAACACATATGTGTTTTAGCACAAAAAAACACATGAATTTTTTTTATCTCTCTTCCTCTCTCTTTCTCACCGGTGACCCCACATGGCCATGGCAGTGGCGGCGGCGGCGGATCTGTGATTTGTCCTTCCATAGAAAAAAAATTGTGATATGTGATCTGTGATCTGTGGAGGCTGGAGGCTGAAGGTAGAAGAATGGTGTATGTGGTTGGATCTTAATCCTATGGTGTAAAAAAATTTATGTATTGAAACTGAATAAAACACATGGCGGTGTATTAGAGAGACTCTTTCTGTATTGCATTATTGGCGCAACGCGACCACTAAGCCGGAGCTTGTGTAAGCCTAGCTAGCAGGCCTTACAGGAAACCAAACAAACCCAAATTGTACTATAGAAGCCTAGCTAGGGGCTAAGCCAGAGAACCAAACATTCGTCTCTCTCTCTTCGTTTGCTGGAACTAGAAAGCAACGTGTCGTACGTTCTTACACTCCAGGATTTGATCACGAGCTGCTAGCTGGCGATGGCATTGGCATGCATGGACACGGAACGGGGACGAGCGATGACGAACAAAATTAAGGCGCCTACGTGCGTCGGTCATCAGGATGCATGACCAGGAACAACGCCGTGCATGTGAACGCCAAGCCTAGCTATAGATTGCAGTGCGCCTCACACTACTGACACCTCTCTCGACAGACGATCGAGACGACGCGACCCAGATGCATGCATGGCAAAAAAAAATTTAAAAAGATACCCCATGCACCGTACCATGCACCTATTGCCTACTGGCGGTCTGCCCCGCATGAACAATGCTCCTTTGACTTTGCTGACCAAGCGACACGCTCCTTCCCCACCATCGCACGATCACGATTCGCACTCGCACCACCAACCCCCACTCCGCGCTATAAAACCAAGCAGCCAAACGCAAACTCTCATCAGGTTCAGGCAGCAGCCCACTCCACTGAGCTGATCGAGGCACGCACTCACCACCACTGCGCCGCACACAAACACAGCTCGGCCGAGCCCTCTAAACACGTACGTACGCGTGATGGCAATGGCATCGTCGCTGCTGCCGCCGTTCACGGTGCGGCGCGGGGACCCGGTGCTGGTGGCGCCGTCGGCGCCGACGCCGCGGGAGACGAAGCCGCTCTCGGACATCGACGACTCCGAGGGCATGCGGTTCTACAGCTCCGGGATCCACCTGTACCGCACCAACCCATCCAAGGCCGGGCAGGACCCGGCGAGGGTCATCCGCGAGGCGCTGGCCAGGGCGCTCGTCCCCTACTACCCGCTCGCCGGCCGCCTCCGCGAGGTGGAAGGAAGGAAGCTCGTCGTCGACTGCGCCGCGCAGGGCATCCTGTTCGCCGAGGCCGACGCCGACCTCACCGCCGACGACTTCGGCGACGTGCAGAGCCCGCCGTTCCCGTGCTTCGAGCAGTTCATCCTCGAGAGCACCACCGTCGCCGGCGCCGAGCCCGTCGTCGACCGCCCCTTGTTGTACGTCCAGGTCACGCGCCTCAAGTGCGGCGGCTTCATCTTCGGCCAGCGCTTCTGCCACTGCATCGTGGACGCGCCTGGCGGGATGCAGTTCGAGAAGGCCGTCTGCGAGATCGCGTGCGGCGCAGCCGCGCCGTCCGTGGCGCCGGCCTGGGGCAGGGAGATGTTCATGGCGCGCAACCCGCCACGCCCGTCGTACCCGCACCTCGAGTACCGCGAGCCCGCGGGCAGCGTCGGCGTCGACCGGATGCTGACCACTCCCGCCGCTGACATGGCGCGGGTGCCCTTCTTCTTCGGGCCACGGGAGATCGCGGGGCTGCGCCAGCGCGCGCCGCCCGGGATCCGCTGCTCCCGGTTCGAGCTTGTCGCCGCCTGCATCTGGCGCAGTCGCACCGCGGCTCTCGGGTACGCGGCCGACGAGGAGGTGCGCCTTTCCTTCATCGTGAACGCGCGCGGGCGGCCCGACATCCCCCTCCCCGAGGGATTCTACGGGAACGCCTTTGCCTACTCCGTCGCGGCGACCACCGCCGGGGAGCTCTGCGGTGGGGACCTCGGGTTCGCGCTGGACCTGGTGAAGAAGGCCAAGTCGGCGGTGACCTACGACTACCTGCTGTCGGTGGCGGACCTGATGGTGCTCACGGGCCGGCCGCTGTTCGAGGTGTCGAGGACGTACATCGTGTCCGACGTCAGCCACGCCGGGTTCAAGAGCGTCGACTTCGGCTGGGGGGAGGCCGTCTACGGCGGGCCGGCCAAGGGCGGCGAAGGGCCGCTCCCCGGCGTCACCAACTACTTCTCGAGGGCCAAGAACGGCAAGGGGGAGGAGGGCACCGTCGTGCCCATCTGCCTGCCCAAGGACGCCATGGAGAAGTTCCAGCTCGAGGTGGAAGGCCTCACCGCCGAGCTCTAGGCGATGGAGCGCCGCGCACCGGCCCGCCGGGGTGCATGCATCTACATGTCAGGCATGAGCACAGCTATATACTGTAGATAGTAGAACGTCATCAAGTACGTACACCATAAATGCGTCCTGCTCGTCTCGTCGATACGACGGTATATATACGTACGTGTGTTGTTTTTCGGACTATACAAAGCTGTACGTACGCAACGAAATACGGTGGTGTTGTGCACTTGTTTTGTGTAAGGTAACATGGAAACAATTCATATACTAATTGCAGATTTGCAATGTCAATCCCCCGCCTCAAGTTGCAATTGCTAGATCTGTATTTCTTCTTGACGTGGTTGTGCTTGCGCATTAATACTACTCTGTTTCAAATTATAGTAATATATATTTTCACTGCGTTTATGTACAAACATACGTATTAACATCTAGATGTGTTCAAATAAATACACTATCAAATTAAACGTATCTAATTGAAGAATTGGATGGAACTAACTTGATATTTGTCGGTGCATTTTTTTTATAAAATTGCTCAAAGTTAGTAAAAAATGACTTTGAATAAAGCTAAAATAAATTATATTTAAAATAGAGAGGGTAGATCATATTGGCATATTTTATTTCTCAAAGTCATACTCTATCTTAGCCATCTACTTTTGCCTATGTACTAGGCAAACTAATCATGACGTGCCTGATTTTTCTTTTCTATGTTGAGCTTGCTCTGTACCAAGGACGGACTAGTTGGCAAACAAATCATTACTCGTTGAATTAATCCCAACAGATCACACGACTTTAAAATAATTATGTTTTGATAGCATATTTTTTTACTATAATTGTTATTATATTCTATATAAATTTAGTTAACGTTATTTTTTTTTATTTAATACAAAAACGAACACGATCTACATTTTTTTAAATAGTTGGAGTATGTCTCATTAATGCTATTAGAGATTCTTTTAGCATGGTTATATAAACAAATGGATTGTATACGAAACATTTCGCTCAATTAATTGACCACGGATGGAAACATAGTGCATGCACTTTACGGAATAATGGCAACGAAGTATGAATACTGTACTGTTGTCAGAAAAAGCCAGAGAATCAAGCAAATCACATTTTTTTAGTAACACGACACCATATACACATACACTGACCAAAGTTGACTGCAACTACCCTTTTTACATTAGAAGCTCCCTATCGGTTGAAGCAAGCAATATACATTAGGGGACAAGGAGAAATAGAGACCAACAAGATTGTTGGTCATGCATGCATATCACAAGTTGCAATATACAACCAACCACTGCTCTGAGATGTATTAACAAAGGGAACCATATCCGGCATATCATTTCTCTAGGCGAACTAATAGAAAGGTGCGTGATTTTTGTATGCTGAGGTACTTGCTCGGTACAAGTACAAAATAGTTAGTAAATAGATCATTGAACGTTGAATAATTCCAATAGTTAGCTATATGGTCTATGGAATCCAAGGGAGAGTGTTACGAAACATCTAACACCCCATTTGGATGTAGACATTCAGGATTAGAATTTGGAATTGGCATTGGCTAGCTCCGAATACAAATGTTTGGAAGGTTTGGAGAATTGGTACATCCTCAATGGCAACCAGTATTCATTGCTCCTGAACTCCCTCATCCTCAATAAAGAGCTCTTCACCTCTGTATTCGATAGAATTCACCCAAACCCTCAAAACACCACATGCTCGAGTTTAGCCCTGCCATGGCCAAGCTCGCGTAAATCGCCACTGAGTTTTACCGGCCGTCGTCATTGAACTCCGTTGCCAACGAGCTCCGCTTGCCATGGCCCAGCACCTCTCGCCATGGTTGCCATCAAGACCGCACCCTATGGCCCGCGGTTGAGCTCCGCTTCGCCATGCCCATTGCCGCCGCACCGAGCTCCTCTCCCTCATGGCGAGATCAATGCCCGTCCCTTATCCGCGCCCCATGGTCGCGGTTGAGCTCGCCATGGTCGCTCGACACGGAGATCCACCCCTATATGGTCGTGGTCGAGCTCCTCCCATCATCGAGCTCCGCCCGCTGCTGAGATCAGCTCGCCATGGACATCGCTGTTGAGCTCCCCACTTCTCAGCGCGGTCAAGCTCCCGCTCGAGGTCAAGCTCCCCTTGCCATGGACACCCTCGACAAGATCTGTGCGCATAGCCGAGAGCCTTTCTTGGCGGCACGCGTGAGGGAGGAGATTCAATTGCATGCTTTTGCATCCAAACATGAATCAGATTTGAGCTACTTGCTGGAATTCCACGAGCCAATTTAGTGGTCATCCAAACAACAATATAATATTCAAAGCGTGGCCATTTCAATACCATGGCTGCTTTAGTATTAAGCCTAATACAATTCCATGGCCTCCAATACCGACATCCAAACAGAGCCTAAGCTTCAGTCTTGTAATAAGTGTATTTCTAGGGCCTATTTTACTATTATGAATAGGCAATCACTACCAAACCATCACCGTGCCGTCGGACAATCGTCTTAAACTGACAATATCACTACCAGTTCGTAAGCAACAGGCCTATCATTCCTGACAATTCTTCGGCGTGCTCGTCGACGACGAGGGATTGCGCACCGGAAACCTCCAATTTGCCGAGTGTTTTTACATTTGCCGAGTGCATTCCCTCGGACACTCAGCAAACAAATTATTTGCCGAGTGCTGTGCTAAAAACACTCGGCAAAACAAAAACCCTCAGCAAAATAGGGGGTTTGCCGAGTGTCAAAAAAAAACCCTCGGCAAAGAGGGGGGTTTGCCGAGTGTCAAAAATAAACACTCGGCAAAGAGAGGGTTTGCCGAGTGTCAAAAAAAAAACACTCGGCAAAGATGAAAAAAAAAAACACACCGCGTAAAAAATCCCCTCCCATTCCCACCCTCGACTCCCTCTTGCCCTAGCTCACTCCCTCCCCGGATTCCACCGCGCTCCTCCCTACGCCCCACCGGCGGCCGGCCCCTCCCTCTCCTTCCCTGGCGCCGCCCTCTCTTCCCCGGCGGCCGGCCCCTCCCTCTCCTTCCCCGCCGCCCCCTCTCTCTCCACGGATCTGGCCGGCCCCTCCTCTCCTTCCCCGCCGCCCCCTCTCTCTCCCCGGATCTGGTCGCCGCGCCGCCCCCTCTCTCTCTCCTCGGATCCAGCCGCCGCGCCGCCCCTCCCCTCTGGATCCGGCCCCGCCGCCTCCCTCCCTCCCTCCCGGATCCGGCGCCGCCTCCTCCCTCCCTCCCTCTCCTTCCCCGCCGCCTCCCTCCCTCCTGGATTTCCCCGGATCCGGCCGCCGCGCCGCCCCTCCCCTTCGGATCCGGCCCCACCGCCTCCCACCACGCCCACCCACGACGCCGCCGCCGCCTGAGGGCGACGCGGACTGGGCGGAGGCGGCAGCGGGGGGCACCGAAGAGGTGGCCGCGTTCGGGCGGGACGCGGCCTCACGGCCCGAGCTGTGGCTCGACTTCCTCGTCCTCCCTGACGACGCCGACTCCGATGGTTCGTGGCTTCGTGCTATCCTTTCTTGCCTCCCCCAGAGGCTCTTCTTCATCGGTGTCGGTTGAGATGAACTAATTGTCAGTTGCATTGTTGACTTGAAGTGCAGATTTTGACATGACTGATGCGCAGCAAGATCACGCCCTGGCCGTGGAAAGCTTGGCGCCCGAGCTGGCTGATCTGAGGATCGAGCTCTGCCCCAGCCACATGAGCGAGGGCTACTTCTGGAAGATATACTTCGTGCTGCTGCATCCTAAGCTCAGGAAGCATGATGCTGAGATTTTATCCAGTCCACAGGTGATTTTCCTTGACATCTTAAGTTCAACACTTAAACGAGTTAGTAATACAAGTTCACTAAGTAGTAAGTACCTGAGGATTTTCCTTCATGCTAGTTAACTAAGTTAGTTGTCTTTGATGATTCAGTAGTAAAGTTCACCTTGGACCAATATCAGCCTAAAATTTGTTAGCTGAGGTGAGTAAAGGAATGTGAATCAGATGCTGGATCAGATTAGTTATTAAATTGAGACTGTATTGTGTTTCACATTTTGATATTTGCTACATTGTATTTGGAATCATGGAATATTGCGGTGGCAAGAAACTTAAGTGCTTGTGATTGCTTTGCACTTTGATTTGGTATATCTTGCACCTAAGGTTTTGTGTCCTGGTAAGGCAATCATGCTTGTTTGAGAACTGCGATAGTATCCATGAGAATATTGTCAAAATTTGGTATATCTGAAACTTGATCATTAGTTTGACACTTTGACCTCACTCTGGAATTTGATTTCAAAACATTAATTTCTTCGATTTTCAAAAATCATAAAAATATATTGGTTAATCATAGCCTCATGCGGCACACTTATGCACATTCTCAAGCTTTGTGCTTCTATGCCTGCCATGGAACCTATCCTTTTTGTCGGATAAGATCATGAAGCCTTTACTTATCAAAGTGTCACAAATGCAGTGGATTATAATCCGAATCCAACACCTCATTCATGTCATCTAAGCTAGTGAAACCTTCCTACATTCCCTTCCTCCTGCCTAAAAGTGAAACTAATTTGCATTTTTTTTGCTTCCTTTGCTCTTCCAAGGGAGTGGAGTTAAATCACATTGCACTAGGCCAACAGTTTGAAATTGGCTCACCATAATTTATAGCTAAATTGATTCGTTGTGATTGTTATCCTCCCTGGAATCTATGCTTTAGATATTGATATATTGACAGAAAGTCTAATGTTTCTGATGCTTTAGTAGTTTATATTAAATTTTCTTTCTTGCAAGTCATGATGGGTTAGCCATCCAAATACATCCCTAGTTTGAATGGGACTAGCTTGTTCTGGACACCTCAAGTGGTTCGTTATATTCTACTAATTTTCTATAATAACTGAGTGCTTTGTCCAGTTTTATTTGTTACTGTATTTCTATTGATTCAGTTTCTTCCTTAGTACAATTTTGTTCCCAGAATGATGCTTTGCATGAGTCTGAACTCTGAAGTGCCATATGATGAAGTGAATAGCGGAAACATGTCAAATAGCAAACAGTCAGAATTAGGCATCAAGTGAATATTGACTCAACAAAAGCCATGGCCCATGGGACATAAAGTGCAATATGATGAAAATGATTAGCTCCTATGTTTGAATAATTCATTACACTTTTTAGCCCTCAGATGCATGCATGAGTCTTGAGAGGCAGATATATTGATAGAACATCATTTTCCATAGGCTCTGAATGCTTTAATAGTTTCTGCTGATGATTGTGCTTTCTTTCTAGTTATGATGTATCAACAGACCTTTTTATGTGTGCTGACTGCACAAAAGATAAGCTGGTATCTGCCAGCTCAAGACATTGTTTGCTAGCAGACTTCTTATCAGTTCCTGATTGCCTTGGCACAGATTTTGGAAGCTAGAGACAAGTTGTCACACGATTTGCAGTATCGGACGAAGTTACAAGGCAGCTATGGGGACACCGTACCTGTGCCTTTCAGCAATGAAGATGGTGTTTTAAGTTCTCCTGTAGAGGTTTTGGGTGTACCTGTGCCTTTCAGCAACGAAGATGATGTGCATGCAGATATAGTGTACTAAGAGTGTTTTGTATGACAACTATTAAACTGAAATATGTTGAGAAAAAAATTATTTTTTTCTTTGGAAAATAGGTTTGACGAGTGTAATTTCCAAAAACACTCGGCAAACAGTAATGGTATGCTGAGATTTTTTTTTTGGAAAATAGGTTTGCCGAGTGTAATCCCCAAAAACACTCGGCAAATAATAATACTTTGTCGAGTGTATTTTGGAAAAACACTCGGCAAACCACTTTTTTTGCCGAGTGTCAAATTTGACACTCGGCAAACCATTTGTCAAGTGCGCGATAAAAAACACTCGGCAAATAGCGGTTTGCCGACACTGTAGATGCCGTGTGCTGTTTGTCGAGTGTTATACTCGGCAAAGCCTTTACCGAGTACCTGTGGCATACGGCAAAGTCACTGTTTCTTTCCGGTAGTCCCATGTTCCCCCTTTCTCCTTTCTCCCCTGTCTCTCTTCCAGTAGTAGTTCCCTAAGGGCTACTTTGGAAGTATGGGGAGTCTAGCCTAGGGAAGAGAAGCCCCCGAGAGGATTCTGACGCCAATTCGTTTCCCTGGGTTGTCTTCCCGCCAGAGGTTTAGTTCCCTGTCGCTGTTTGGAGAAAAGAGCAGGAATCTCATGGAAAAAATGGTCTCACAAAATCATGAAGAGAGAGAGAGAAAAACTAGAAATAAAAGTATGACCACTATCTCCTCTTCTTGTTCCTGATGATCAGGAAGACACCGGAGCAAGCTTCCAAGCAGCTGAGCAGCATGATGGCGAGGCCGCTCACCAGGATGTGCACACCGGCCACGACAGGCGTGGAGCGAACCCCGAGCCGGAGGCCAGCAACACTGCGACAGCGAGGCCGAAACCGCTGCGGCACCAGCGTCGCGATCAGCACGGCCACCACCGTCGTCGAGTTGATGGTGTTGCTCAGTCCTTCCTCGTGCCGCTTGTTGATGGCGTTGTTCGCGATGCCCTGCATGCGCACGCGCGTCTGCTGCGAGTGCGCCTTGTGCTTGATGTCTCGCTCACCTGCTGCTTCAGCTCGCGCGCCTGCTTGTTGCCGCCGCCCGGGCTGATGGTGCGCGCCAACTGCACGCCGTGCTCCGCCAGCAGCTTCGCCGCGTCTGCGTTGCCCATCTTATCCGCCGTGTCCAGCGGGGTCTCGCGGGACCGTGGTCCGGCATCGTGACCAGCCGCTTGATGATCTCGTGGCGCGCCTTGTGCGCGGACATGGGCAGCACGGTATTGTCCTTGTTGTCCGTCTGGTTGAGCAGCGCCGTCTCGGCGGCGAGGAGCGCGTCGACGAGGTCCAGCCTGGTGCCCTTGGTGGCCATGTGCAGCGCGGTCTGGCCCTTCTTGTCCGTGCGCAGCGCGATGCTGGGCTCCGCCTCCAGCAGCGCGCACCACCTCCACAGCCTGGTTCTGCTTGGACAGCAGCGCCCCGAGCTCCTCGGCGTCCATGCCGGACATCATCTCCGCATGGACCCGAGCTGGCCGGCGCGCGCCGCCGCGTGCATCGCGGTGTCGTCCCGCTTCCCCGTCAGCTGCTTTGTCATCTTCTTCCGCCGCGTCGCCGCCTGCGCCGCCCTCGGCGAGTCCATCGCCAACACTGCGACAGCCGACAGCGACTCGCGAAAGGAGGAACCGGGCCCCGGGGAAGCGCTCCCGGCCTCTTGCGTCGTGGATTGCTCCCCCATGAAAAACGCGGGGAAGGGGGCTGTATTCCACGTCTCCGGGACCTTCCAAATGCAGCGAAAGATTACCCCGTGACAGATCGCCCCGCGGGTTCCCGCCCCGGACAATCGCAGGGAATCCGGCGGCGATCAGTGCTTCCAAATTAGCCTTAGGGCCCGTTCGTTTAGGCTTAATCCTAGACGGAACTGTTCCTGGTGCTGTTTTGACGTATAAAATAGAGCTACGTTCCTGGCCGGATCAATTCCTGGGCTTGATTCCGTGTTATCCGTACGTGCACTTAATGGAATAAGGTGCCTGGATGGATATTTTGAGGACCTCAGTCCTCCTCACCTTCGTCCTCTTGGAGGTGGGCACACAGACATAGAAACAGGGGCTACTAGTACCTGAATAACCACACATGCATGCACGAGTGAACGGCAGGGGCAAGCTAAGGTCGTCCACGCGCTGCTGGGGGTACAAGCAAAGCAGCGAGGAGTTGGTGCACCAACGCCGGGCGGGCGGGCGGCCGGGCCGACCCTATTAATCATGCTCGCCGCCGGTCCGGCCGGCCAGCCGTGTCGATCTGTTGCTCCTGCTCATAGTATATCCGCGTGCAAGTCCGGTCCGATCGCCGCGCCGGCCGGAACAGGACAGGAAAGCGCGCGGCCGGGCGTTTCATGCTCTGGAAGACTGGAACAGGTGGCTATCTTGTTGATGCGATCCGATCCACCAGTAGTCATGCTCATGCAGTTGCACCGATGCACGCAACCAAACCGCTGCGAGCTGTTGCTGCTGCACGCAGCACGCTACGCTAGTAGGAGTAGCTGTTACAGCTCTCGTCCATCGGCCGGTGGTTCAAGAGCAGCAATGGACGACGACGACGACGACGTCTCGATCGTGTGCTCCGTCAGATCGTCTGGCTTGCTGTGCTGGCGCCTCCTATGTTTCAGGTTCAAGTTCAACGAGGGCGACGGGTGAGACTGAGATATATCGAGATCGAGCAAGCGAGGACTATTTGTTTTGCTCGCGCTCAGTTTGATGCGTCGTATCGTATGCTAGAATGCGACGACGACATTTGCATTTTGCAGTGCATGCACGCGCGCGCTGTATTATTGGCGCAACGCAACCACTGACGATTCGCTTTTAACATATTTGCGTGCTGTGGTTATCCTAGACGACTAAACAAACATCTGCCTTTTGAATTTTAGCTAACTGTGAGCTGAGCTGAGCGATCGTGGTAACTATTCACTCTGTTCTAAATTATAAATTATTTTGATTTTTTTTATATCTATTTTTATATGCATATAGATAAATAATATGTCTATATACATAACAAAATAAATAAATCAAAAAAATTAAAGCAACTTATAATTTGGAACGGAGGCAGTAGTACACAGCTGTTGTTACTGCCCGGATGGACCCCGCGGTGATATGATGAGATGCATCAGCCATCAGGCATATGCGCCGCCGCATTATTTCCACGGCGCGTGAGCGGAGCACTACCACCGGTATTATTTATTTACAACGTGGGAAACAGCGACCGCACGACATTCTCTCTTCCACCGTACACTACACACACTACGACTCCAGGAGGTGAGTCTCCGTTCCTTCACGCTGTCGAGCTCCGGGCACGGCGCCCCGCCCCGACCTGGCCTGACTGCCTCTAGCACTGCTAGGGTCCTTGACCGCTCGGTCGCCGTCCCCATCGCCTGGCCAGCCGACCTCCCCTGTCCGGCCCCTTCTATGCGCGCCAGAGAAGATGAACAGGAGATGATGCACTTTGCCTTCACCGGTATCATCGCCTCCGTTGACAGCGCGAATCCGACGGCATCCAAATCGAGCGCGGAGACGGCCAGAAACACCCGAGTGAGAAACAGATTTATCGTTTCCATATCCATCTGAACTGAACCAAAAGGGTGTCATCTGCCTCTGTTGATCCGTTCCATATCATCGGCGCCACCAAACCCCAGTGCTGGGTACGCATGTGAGCCATTATATATTCATCAACAAGTGTAGTAGTGCTCCGGTACGCATGTGAGCCATTATATTCGTCTCTCTATTTTTTCCTTTGCTGGAACCGGAAAGCAACGTGTCTTTCTTACACTCCATGATCTGACCACGCACACAGAACGGACGACGACGAACAAGATTAAGGATTTAAGGTGCGTGCGTGCGTCGCCGATCTGGATCATCAGGAACGCCATGCATGTGAACGCCAAACCTAGCTAGCTTCTACGTACTTGCATTGCGCGTCACTATAGATACGCGTCACACTACTGACACCACTCTCGACGACCGCTGTAGACGATCGAGACGACGCGACCCAGATTCATGCATGGCAAAAAAATAAAAATAAAAAAACGATTTTCCATGCACTGTACCGTGCACGTATAACTGCGTGAGTCCTGTTGGCGCTGGTCCGCTGCAGCGGCCGCGCATGCAGGCCAGACCTGCAGCAGCCATATTCACGTAGGGTATACAACAGTCCATTGTTTTTTTTTCTAGAAGTGTTCTTTGAACCAAACAAATGCATTGCTAAGTATATTGCTACTGAACATTGTCATCAAATAGCGTGGTTTCGATTTAATTATCAGCAGAAGAATGCCTTAGATAATTTCTTGGGTTAAAATCATCGTGAAACAAAAGCATTGAAAACGTCGTTTGTAGCTAAACACACATGCAAACTACAATCATCATGGTGTTAATTTTTTTCCCGACGCACGGGCACAATGCTAGTGTAATGTAATTTCTAGGATCATATGACTGAAAGTAGCAATCAGTATACATATAAAAGTAGTCTCGCTCTCGTCGATATATTTCTATTGGGCCGCCTAGCTTGCTGTCAACAGTACACATGTAACCAAAAATCAACACTTGGGGTAGGGTATCCTCCTTTCTTTGCCCAGTTGTTAGCAGTTGGCAGTAGCTAGCATCACCTGCAGTTGCAGAAACAATGGAGAGAAGCCAATACAAGTATCCAGGATGCAACTAACAGCTAGCTTTTGCAGTAGCTGAGCACAAGGAAGCTAGCATCCGAGCATCCTCACCTGGCGCTGCTCTTGTTATCCCTAGAAGCGTCGACCTGACCACCTCCTCCTCTCACGTCGATGGCCGCAGCATCCGGTGCCGGCCTCCTGCCACCACCGTTGGCCGTTGTCGTAGTACACACTGGCATGCCACGGTAGGCCAACGTGGTATGCATTGCCGCCGGAGCTGCCGTTGCATGATGAGGTCTCGCCGCCGTCAGCAGCCCATTGCCCCCACACGGCTCCGTGCCGTTGTTGGCGCTGGCGCTGTGCAGGAGCGCGCCGCCAGTGCTGCAGGCACTGGACCAGCAGAGC